AGTGTCCCCTGAGAACGGTGTCCAGTGTAAGAAGTTTTGTGTACTGATTTGCGGATTCTCGATTTACTTTATAGCATTAGCATTGTTGGTGGTATGGAGGTGCAGACTTTGCTACCTGGTGTGTAAGGTCGTGGGAGCGTATCCCACGGGGAAATTTGTATAAGTGTGGCATGTTAGTCACTTAATTGTTAAGGATTGAAACCAAGTATGGAGATTTTTGGTACTATCGTTAATGTGAGAGTTTATGCTTGGAGGGTGCTCTATTCCCTTGGTTGTGAATGTGGGAGTTGGCCCGGAGTGGACGGCTGCTCGTGTGTGTCATGAATGGGGCCATTGTGGATCCTTTGAAGGTTATTGGCCCAGTAGGGTATGATCAAAATCGGTTTGAGGTCCGTTGGTGGGTCTAATATGAAGGTGTGCTCTACGTCAGGTCGGATGTGTTCATTCATCATAGCATTGCTTACAGAGGAGTCGCCAGGCATTGGATGTTATCCCCGTCGTCAGCTATTCCATGTAAATCTCTATTGTGCCATGTGGGTTGTGAGATAGCATGATTATTCGCACATGTGCTGAGGTCATGTGTAGCTTGTGGTGTTCTATGAGCAGGATCACTCTCGAGATGCAGGTCATATATTGCACCTTAGTTGTTCTTGGGTTTTGTAGCGTGTGGCGCTATCCGTCTCCTCAGGATTTGTATTATGCACTTGGCGTGCTTGTGGTCGATATTCGGGCATTTCGTAAGTATAAACGTTACGGCTTGATGTGTGTGTTTTCTTCTTGATTGTTATGTGCGAATCGGGTGGCACGCCGCCACTGGTATATTGTTTGGATCGGGTTGCACGCCGCAATAGTGTCATATTGGATCGGGTTGCACGCCGAAACAGTGTCATATTGGATCGCGTTGCATACCGCAACAGTGAGATGTTGAGCATAGGGAATTACACTTAATTTGATGCCTTGTTTTTCATCCCTGAGGTAGGTTCATAGCATCTATTCGACCGTTTTATTCGTTACGCAGGCTGGGTAATTCCCTGTCAGAGTTCGTTCTTCCTTATGAGTTATGGTGGCTTGTTGGCGCTTTGATGGTGCTGCATACGATCTTGGTCAGTGTTTGAGGTGACTCATTGCCTGAGCAGTTTGTATCGGGTGAGACGAGATTATTAAACCTGAAACTAGTGCAATCATATTTATATAAGGTACATTAAAGAGAAAATGTCGTTATTCAGTTCAGAATGAAGTAATGGTTCTTGTCAGGAGGAGAGACTCCATGATTTATTGATTCGACAGGTGGTTATGAGTTTCTACACGTCTCTTTCGTTGTGGCAGTATTGTGAGAATTGGAACAGGACTTATATGCGTTATGAGGTATGTTGTGGGCATCGGATTCGTGGAAGTGTAGCTATTGTTGTGAGAGGATGTTTTTATGGTTAAGTGACTTATGTGGTGCATGGTGTGATTTCAGCGGAGGAGCATGGTCATGTTGGGTGCAGTGTGTAAGGGTTTATACGGTGTTCGTATGTTAGAATTAGGTCTTGTAGAGGAATTCGGAGGTTAGAATTTGGTTCTAAATCTTATTGACTAAATAAAGAGGGAGAATCTTCAGTCTGGCTCGAGCTAATATGCTCACATGGGTTATAGTGGCACGAATAAGTGCACGAGGTGTTAAACAGTGATTTTGGACAACTCCAGAGTAGTCCTTAGCACATTTGAGGATGAACGTATGTTTAAGTGGAGGAGAATGTAACGACCCAACCAGTCGTTTTGAGCTCCAGAGCATCGTTCTGCGGTTTGAGACCTTGAGTAGCTTCACTTCAGGTATTATGACTTGTACGTGTGGTCGGAGTTGAACTTTGGGAAGTTCGGAGTTGATTTAGAAAAACAATTCTAATTTCGGAAGTTTTAAGTTAGAAGAAATGACTAAGGTGTGACTTTTGAGTAAACGACCTCAGAATCGGGATTTTAAGGTTCCAATAGGTTCGTATGATGATGTTGGACTTGGGCGTATGTTCGGGTTGAGTACCGGGGTGGCCCGGGAAAATTTCAACGCTTATTATGGAAGGTTGGCATTTTGAAGGTTTAAGAATTTCTTAAGTTGGGTTTGAAGTGGGATATGGTGTCATCGATATACGTTTGGGATTTCGAGCCTTGGAATAGGTTCGTATTGTGATTTATGACTTGTGCGCAAAGTTTGGCGTCATTCCAGAATGATTTGATATGAATCAGACGTGTTCGTCGAAGTTTGAATGTTCGAAAGTTTAAAGACGTATTTCGATCGTTGATTCATTGTTTCGATGTTGTTTGCCGTGATTTGAGGCCTCGACTAAGTTCGGGATGTGTTTTGGGATGCGTTGGTATAATTGGTCAAGGTCCCGGGGGCCTCGGGTGGATTCCCTATGGTTAACGGATCAAATTTGGACTTGAAGCAATTGCTGATATTCTGCCTTCTGGTGCAATCGCATCTGCGGAATTTTTTTCACAGGTGCGAGCTCGTAGAAGGGAGATGGGCTTCGCATAAATGGCCAGGCATGACTGATACAGGGGTCTCAGAAGCGGGTAGGTGGACCGTAAAATCGAAGTCGCACCTACGACGGATCGATCGCAGAAGCGGAAAGTGAGAGGAAGGGTTGCTTCACAGAAGCGGCAGTGTTCCGTAGAAGCGAGTCCACAGAAGAGAGGGAAGCCGCAAAAGAGAAGTGGGCATCACATCTGCGGAGCCACAGAAGTGGCTAATGGACCGTAGATGCGAAAGGTCGGTGGGCATAGGACTTGGTTTTATACGGGATTTGGCCCATTTTCTTTCATTTTCACTTGGTTGGAGAGATTTTTGGAGAGCTTCAAGGGGAGATTTTTCTTCATCTATGGCAAGGTAAATTATTCTCACCTATTGTAAATTAAATACATGGATTCTACAAGGATTTAAATATGAAAATTAGTGAAAATTGTGAGATTTTTGTGAAAAACCTTAAAATTGATATTTTTGGATTTTTACCACGCATTTGGATATGGAATTAGGAACAAATTATATATTTGAGTTCGTAATGTTATGGGTAATGTTTATCTTTGAAAATTTTCGGAATCCGGACGCGTGGGCCTGAGAGTTAACTTTATTGACTTTTAGCGGAATTGGGGTTGTTAAGAATTGATTAATTATAAGCATTGGAGTATATTTTGATTTAGCTGCATATTGTTTGACTAGTTTGAGATTGTTTGGCTTGAATTGAAGAATTAGAGAAGCGTTGGAGCCGGTTTTGGAACTTCGAAGTGAGGTAAGATTCCTGTCTAACCTTGTGAGGTTAGAAACTACCCCTAGGTGGTATTTATTGTTATGTGCAACTAGTTGTGGCTGCTACGTACGCATAAGGTGACGAGAGTCTGTACGTAGCTAAAGCATGTTTATGTCCGGGTAGACTTAGGACTTTATCATGTAATAATTGAATTATTTGAACCCTTTCTGCTGGCTTAATTAACTAAAGTTATAACTGAATTTGGTTTAGCAATAAATATATGTATAATAGGTCGAGCCTTAATACTTTGAGTTGTGGGCGAGTTATTTGAGAAACGGTAAAGATTATATTCGTTCTGTGCTCATGTACTGTATTGTAAACATGTGTCTCGTAATTCGGTAACTTTTTTCCTTTCTTGTGGAGCGGGCCGAACGCCTCGACACTATAATAGATGCATCTATAGTTCGTGTCGCTCGACCCTCGACAGTGTACACATTATTCTGGATCGGACCGAATGACCTTGGCAGAATCGTGCGTTATATCGCTAATAATTCGAATATTCACGAGATAAACCTTCCACTGATGCCCGGCATTTTTATGGTATTCCTTATTTATTTGATATTGGCACTTGACATTTTCTGAGTTATTAAGGTAGAATACAAGATCAAGACATTTATACTTTAAAAGAAATAATTGGAAAATCATGAAATTTACAGATTTACTTCACTATTGTTGTGCACTTCATATCTGTTATGAATTATCATATTATTTTATTGGACTTCTAGTAAGTGTCGATGTCGACCCCTCGTCACTACTTCTCCGGAGTTAGGCTAGATACTTACTGGGTATGCGTGCACTTCTGCACTAAATGTACAGGATCTGACAAGTTCATTTGGTGATCATCTTGGCGCGTAGGTGCATCTGTTGAGGAGACTTTATGTGAGCTGCAACTCAGGCTATGCATCGCAGTCCACCGAGTCTCCATCGTACTATTTATTTTATCCTGTCTTATTTACATTCTGGAAAGATGTTGTATTATTATTGTACTTCTTAGAGAATGTTTATGTACTTGCGACACCGAGTTTTGAGGATTCCTACGGGTTGTTCGTTATTGTAGTTGTGTAAATATTATCATTTACCCTGTAAATTCCATTTCATACTATTTAATTAAGGAAAATTATGATTTCAAAATACTACAATGAATAATCAAGTTGATCAATCACTATTGGCTTGTCTGACGGCGGTGTTAGGTGTCATCACGATCTTTAGTAAATTTTGGGCCATGACAATTTCTCTTTCCCTGATGAATTGACCTAGGATGACTATGTATTTCTACCATAGTAATTTCCTTCTTTGAGGGAATAGGGAACGGGTTAAGAAATCCGATTTTTCATTAAGCCAGAGTTTACTTAAGTAATACTCCTTTTGTTTCAATTTATAGACACACTTTGACTTAGCATAGAAGATTGTAATAGCTTATCATGAAGATGATCTAAACATATATGCTTATGTTGGAAGGCAGATTTTAATAAACAAACTGTTTCATCTCTTGTACTATTTTCTTTTCCTTTACTTACCTTTCTATTAGTACCTTCTATTTGCTCTCAATTCCCTTTTCGGTCGTAGCGCTCGCTATAAAAGTCCTGTCTTCTTCTACCTTGCACCTATGAACAACTAATATATCTCTGCACACTAATGTAGTACTAACTGGTTTTTGTTTTTCATGGTAGTAATCTTATTATCAACATTGCGTCTTTTGGAAAAAAGGCAACAAGATAATAGCTCATCACCACGAAAAGAGGAATGTACTTTCAAAAGGATAATTGAGTGGAGGCTTACATTTGGTATTTTCAAAACAAAGATTGTTACATCTTTGTCCGACCTGCTGTTTTTCTTCAACCTCTAGACTGGTCCCCACGAAATCACATGTACCATTATTAAGTATCACATGTAACGTTTACGTATACAAGCCGACGTCTTCCAGTACCAATTTTGAATCTCGAAACCATACCCCCTTTCAATAAATCAATTCATTCATGGAGAAATTAGTAGAAGTATCAGAAGCAGAAATACGAATAGACTTTGCATTAGGCTGCAAATGTCGAGCTACAGTGAACCTCACATCACTTATTGCAACCTCTCCAATAGCCTTCAAAGTCCAAACTTCGTCTCCTCATAAGTTCCTAGTCAATCCACCCAGTGGCCTAATTTCACCTTTATCTTCAACAACATTCCAAGTTATTCTCAAGCCACAATCCCAACTCCCTTCAACTTTCCCTCGCTCCCCTTCTGACAGATTCCTCCTTAGAACAATATTAGCACCACAAGTACTCGAACCGAATCATTCCGAATTCGTTAACTCCTGGTTCAGCTCAATTGGGCACCGTTCGACGTACGACATAAAACTCAAGGTGGTATTCGTGGGCCCCTTTCTTCTTCGCCTTGCTGTTAGTAACGGAGATTCTGAATCCGTTAGAAACATTATCAAACGGCAGCGATCCGTTTTCTCTGAGTTTTCAACTCGAGAAGCGGAGTCACTCCTCCGAGTTGCAAAGCAGCTGGATAATAGTAAAGAAATTGTGAACATCTTGGTTGAGGGCGGATTAAAAGTGGACGCGTGTTCTGAATCAAACGTCGACGTTAAATGGGTGTCGAAGGGGTGGACGGCGTTACATATCGCCGTTGCAAATGATAGGAGAGAGGAGATTGAGAGGCTGCTGAGAGTGAACAGACAGCAGGGGTCTTTGGATAGCAGAGATAAGGAGGGAAGAACGCCGTTACATTTAGCGGCGAGTAAAGGGTTATTGGAAAGTGCGAAGGTGTTGATAGATGCAGGTGCGCAAGTGGATGGGAGGAGCAAGGATGGTAGAACGGCTTTGTTCAGAGCAGCTGCTAATGGTGACTGTCAGATGGTGAAGATGCTTGTTGAAATGGGCGCCGACCCTACTGTTACTGAATTGCGTCTTGGCCGTTCGGCTCTTGATATTGCACGAGCTAAGGGCCATGTAAGTAGTACTCCCACTTTGTGTTATATGACTAGATAAGAAATTTAAAACAAGAGTGGGTGAGCACCCTCCACTTCCAATCAAGAGGTTGTGAGTTCGAGTCATCCCAAGAATAAGGTGAGAGTTCTTGAAGGGAGGGAGCCGAGGGTCTATCGGAAACAGCCTCTCTACTCCATGGTAGTGGTAAGGTCTGCGTACACATTACCCACCCCACTAGTGTGATTATATAATATTTCTTTATAGATAATTCCTTTTATTCCAATTTATGTGGCATGAAATTTAAACTATGTGAACATTGATCAATATTTTAAAATATTTTTTTTTATTATCTTGACATGAGAAGAATTATAACTTATAGTACTTCTCGAATAACTTTTGAAAATCAAAAATTTTATTGTAAAACATTGAGGTGATCTAATTCAATTTGGCTTTAAAGATTAGTCAAATTGACTCTCGAGAACTAGAAAGTTAAATTTCAAATATAAAAATTATTTTTTGGAACAAATTAGAAAGAAAAAAGTGTCATATAAAATGAAATGGAGCGAGTAAAGTAATCGAATTTATTGAAGAATGGATCCCAAGAACAAAGTGAGAGTTCTTGGAGGTAGGGAGCCGAGGGTCTATCGGAAACAACCTCTCTACTCCAGGGTAGTGGTAAGGTCTTCGTACACACTACCCTCCCCAAACCCCACTAGTGGGATTATATAATATTTCTTTACAGAAAATTCCTTTTATTCCAATTTATGTGGCATGAAATTTAAACTATGTGAACAATGATCAATATTTTAAAATATATTTGTTTATTATCTCGACATGAGAAGAATTATAACTTATAGTACTTCTCGAATAACATTTGAAAATCAAAACTTTTATTGTAAAACATTGAGGTGATTTAATTCAATTTGGCTTTAAAGATTAGTCAAATTGACTCTCGAGAACTAGAAAGTTAAATTTCAAATATAAAAAATTATTTTTTGGAACAAATTAGAAAGAAAAAAGTGTCATAAAATGAAATGGAGCGAGTAAAGTAATCGAATTTATTGAAGAATGGATCCCAAGAACAAGGTGGGAGTTCTTGGAGGGAGGGAGTCGAGGGTCTATCAGAAACAGCCTCTCTACTCCATGGTAGTGGTAAGGTTTGCGTACACACTACCATTCCCAGACCCCACTAGTGAGATTATATAATATTTCTTTACAGAAAATTCCTTTTATTCCAATTTATGTGGCATGAAATTTAAACTATGTGAACATTGATCAATATTTTAAAATATATTTGTTTANTTTTTATTATCTTTACATGAGAAGAATTATAACTTATAGTACTTCTCGAATAACTTTTGAAAATCAAAAAATTTATTGTAAAACATTGAGGTGATTTAGTTCAATTTGGCTTTAAAGATTAGTCAAACTGACTCTCGAGAACTAGAAAGTTAAATTTCAAATATAAAAAAATATTTTTTGGAACAAATTAGAAAGAAAAAAATGTGATATAAAATGAAATGGAGGGAGTAAAGTAATCGAATTTATTGAAGAATGGATCCCAAGAACAAGGTGGGAGTTCTTGGAGGGAGGGAGCCGAGGGTTTATCGGAAACAACCTCTCTACTCCAGTGTAGTGGTAAGGTCTGCGTATACACTACCCTCCCTAGACCCCACTAGTGAGATTATATAATATTTCTTTACAGAAAATTCCTTTTATTCCAATTTATGTGGCATGAAATTTAAACTATGTGAACATTGATCAATATTTTAAAATATATATTTTTTATTATCTTGACATGAGAAGAATTATAACTTATAGTACTTTTCGAATAACATTTGAAAATCAAAAATTTTATTGTAAAACATTGAGGTGATTTAATTCAATTTGGCTTTAAAGATTAGTCAAATTGACTCTCGAGAACTAGAAAGTTAAATTTCAAATAAAAAAATTTATTTTTTGGAACAAATTAGAAAGAAAAAAGTGTCATATAAAATGAAATGGAGCGAGTAAAGTAATCGAATTTATTGAAGAATGGATTAAAGGCTCGGGCTCTATTTTACTGTAAAATGGATTGTTTCTGTTACGATCCAACTTCACATAGTTCATATACATTGTGAATAAATGCATATTTCTTTTCTGGAATGCTCAACTAATGGTATTGTAACAGGGGCGTAAATAAGGGCCAAATTGTACATGTAGAAAGGCATTAGTTGAGCTAGGATTGAACAAATGTAGAATCTGTCTCATGATCAGATTCCACATTTGTTCAAAATCTTTTTGTGAGTTTAATTTAATTGAGATTGGCCCTCGCTTTAGTTCTTAGTTCTGTAATCCTTCTGTACGGGAATGAGCATGTTATTCGTGTTTTGTGTTGGGGTGTTATTTTAACCTCTACTTTCTTGTAAAATTTTTTTTTTTTGCTATATATACTGGTAGGGGATCTGTGCCAAACCCCTTCGATCCCAAGGAGGATTTAATAAGAAATGTAGTAGTAATAATAAGGGCCAAGTGTCTAAAAATTGAACATTCGCCACATTGATATCTTCTGAAGACACTATAAATTTTACAGAAACAAAACTGAAAGCATGTTTATAAGAGAAATTCTTGAAACGTGTACAAAGAAATACCCCTACTAGTGGTCGACTAGTCTTACCATTCTCACTTTTTTTACAAATTAGCTCTTACTTATTAACAAGTATTTCAACTTATTTCTCCCTTAAATTTGAATATTTGGAGTGAACTTCTCAGTTTATCTTCAAACAGTACTTCTAACAGTATTCTGATTAATCGGTGATCGTAGCCTTCAATTGTAAGAATATGTCATTGCTGATGGAATTTTAAGTAAGGGCTCAAGAAAGTTGTCAACACATGCCGAATATGAGTGTTTTGACAGCCATTATGAGCTAAAAATGTTTTAATTATTACTGACTTTGTTCTCATTGGAGAGTAATATCAGTTATTTCGAGAGACAATAGCCGATTAGATATATCATTTCAACGGATTAAATCAAAGTAGTTCTGGAATGTAATCTATTTGGCTGGCCTGCCCCAAACTTTGCTCTGTCTACCATGTGCATAAAGAGCTTGTCTGGTTTCATTGCAGTTATACTTTCTTTTTCTGTAACATCCAGCAACCATTTCTTTCACATTCACAACCTACCTTACCAATTACCATAAGTAATGTTGCAGGAGGTAGTTGTTAAAATTCTCGAAAGAGGAGAAGCGGTTCTACATGCTGCAAGACGTGGAGACCTCCAGCTGCTCGAGATTCTACTCGAAAAGGGAGCAAGCACCAACTTCCGCGACCAATATGGTCTGACAACTCTTCATGTTGCAGCGATTAAAGGGAACAAAGATGCAGTAATGATACTCGCCGAATTCAGAGCCGACTTAGAATGCCAGGATGCAGAAGGCCACACTCCCCTGCACATGGCCGTCGAAGGTGGATGTGCACAAACGGTAGAAGTACTGCTAAACAGAGGAGCCAATGTGAACGTTAGGAACAAGAAGGGTGATACTCCTCTTTCTATAGCCAGGTTTTTGGGTTATGAAGATATAACGCAGCTGCTTGTTGATGAGGGTGCTGTGCTTTCTCTAATTCCCTCAAATTCCTCCTCTCCCTTATCCTGATTCCTGGCTATGATAGATTGTACAGCTTTTACAGTTTTATGAATAGTACCACGCCATTGACCAAAGAGTAAATTTCTTCCGTTTTTTTCAAACAAATCTTTGGTTACAAGCAAATTAAATGATTCTTATACATACGAAAGTTAACGGTTAAGTTAATAAAAAAAAGATAGGTGAAGTCCTATATTCAAGATTATTTTATCCAAATTCAAGGTCATGATTTAATATAATCAGATTGATTCCTTAAAACTAATTGTGACACGCCAAACGAATCCCAAATCGACAAAACAGGAAGAAATGTTGGGTATATACGTAAACAAGCCTTTGATCCTAGTGACGCGTTTTAAATACGTGCGGGCCTAAACTCAAAGCGGACAATATTACTAGTAAGCTGGGATGTTACATATGATATCAGAACCAATTCGCATGCAACCTAGAAAGATGGTGGGGCAAGCCTCAACGGTCAACTGAGTTTAGGCGAATCACACATCGCGAAACCCACATCTTTGAGAAGGTGGTTAGGCAAACCTCAACGAGGATGTTTAGTCCCTAAGGGGAGTGTATGTGACACCGCAGACGAATCTCATATCGATAAAATACGACAGTGACACCCCAAGTAAATCTCACATCGACAAAATACGGGAGAGATACTGAGGATATAAGTAAACAAGCTCCCAGGCGAATCCCACATTGACAAAACACGAGAGAGATGCTGGGTGTATAAGTAAACAAGCTTGAAGCTGAGTATATAAGTAAACAAACTTTAGACTCTAGTGACACATTTTAAAGTCGCGGGGGTCTAAACCCAAAGCAGACAATATTACTAATGAGTGAGATTGTTACACTAATTATATAGATTAAATAAAAAATCCAACTCCAAACCATTTAATTTATAGGGCTTAACAAAATAAGTGAACTTCATTGGTTCCACAATCAATATATGTCATGTGGTCATTATTTTATTCGAACGCCCTAGCTCCTAGCCTGTATCAAGTGACAGAACATGCTAAGTCAAACTCAAACAAAATAAAGAAAACAGAGGGGACAAAATTATGTCATGTGGGAAGTCAAGAGGGTTGTCAAGTGAAAGTAAAATCATTTTCCCAGAGATGATAGCAATTTTCTTCCCTTGTCATTTATCTTATTTGGAATAATACTTGCGAGGCAGTGACTGAGACTTGACTAGTTCCATTTTCTTATTTGGAATAATACTTGCGACCCCGGTAATACAAGTCATAAACTCTATTGAGATCACTAGAAATTTTTTAAGTACAACTGTTACGGAAAGAAATAAATTGTACAAAATAAATTTCAGAAAGTGACTCCGAGGCCTCCGAACGCGACGGCAAGTATACATTGAAGTCTCCACCGCAATATCTGATCAGGTATCTATTGATTAACAAACTCCGAAGTACCTGGATCTGTACAAAAAGATGTTCAGAAAGCATAGCATAAGTACACCACAGCGGTACCCAATAAGTATCAAGACTAACCTTGGTAGAGTAGTGACGAGCAGCAATCAAGACACCTACTAGACATAATAACCTGTACAAGTATAAATGCGAAACTAACAGGGAACAATATCAATATAAAGCTAAGCATGGTAGAAACGACAACCAATACTGGCAATAGAAAACTAGAAGCAACAATTAGCAACAAGGAACAAACAGATAATAACGCAATAGAGTAAGCTGAATACAGTTAAAGTCCGGTGACACCAAGTAAGGAGAAACATGTAACAACCTAATAAACAACCGTTTTCACACAAGATTTATACAAGAATTTTCCTGAGGTGCTACACCTCATAACCACAATTCGCGGGTCCCAAGTCACGAACCCTAATCACTTGGCATCTTGTGCCTACATTACAATTTACAACCGCACGGACAACTAATGTGTCAATACCATTAGTACCTCATATCTGCATAGACAATTCACGTGCTAAGAGAGTGACAATATCTCATAACCGCACGGGCAACTTACGTGCTAGCAACAACAATACCTCATAACCGCACGAACAATTCATGTGCCAACAACAGTAATATCTCATATCTGCACGGATAACTCACGTGCCATTAGTACAACTTTCATACAGAAAGCAAGTATACGAGAATACATGTAAATGATCAATAAATATCAAGTTCATCTTCTTGAACCGATATGAGAGAATAATTACGTGTATGCTTGTGCAAGTGTTCTATCCCAACTTGAGTCAATAAATAAGAGCAGAGACAACGAATGGCACATAGGGAACAACACAACAAAATATAAAATGCATGACTCACACAAGGTAGGCACACCACTATACAAATGTCATCAATAACAATGCCCCCAAGCCATCACAAGTCATCACAAATCATCCCCGACATAGCCCCTTGTCTTGCCACGTGTGCAATAATAAAGTAAATTTTCGCCTTGTCTCGCTACATGCGCATAATAATATTCTCGCCTTGTCTCGCCACATGCGCAAACCCACATATATATAGCCCGCCTTGTCACGTCGCATGTGCAAATATCAAGAATAACAATAGCATGGACAACTTACGTACGGACATCCTCACAATCCTCTCAACAATATCACGTGTTCCAAAAATATAACAACACAATATAACAACTCGCACTACATCTGTCTATATGCTATAACATTTTCTCAAAACGTTTTCAATACCACAACCACACATAGCCCTCGGCTCAACGACACTAAGTACAATAACAACAATAATAACACGGGAGTACAGCAAGTAAATCAACACTTAAATCTCTAAACACAAAGAATGAAAGAACGAGCTCACATTGAAACACATAACAAGTGATAAGGGTTTCAAACAAGAATAACTCAATAATGGGAGAGATAGTATGTAACTCAAAAATGAAAGGGATAAGAGTAAGAGTAACTCAACAATGAAAGGGATAACATGTAACAATGATTACAAATACGTACAATACGACGATAAGAGAGATAACATGTAACAATGATTCCAATTAGGTACAACTCAACGATAAGAGAGGTACAACTCAACGCTAAGAGAGATAACATGTAACAATGATTCCAATTAGGTACAATTCAACGATAGAGAGATAACATATAAAAATAATTCCAAATAAGGATAAGTCAATAATGGAAAGGATAACAATAACTTCAAATAAGTTTAAGAAATTACAGAAAAGATAAAATGGCAATAAAAAAGGCAACAACTTCAATTAAGGCATATAAGAGTATATTTGGCAACAAGGGTAGAACATGAATCAATCAACTTCAAATAAGACATGTAAGGATAAATTTAGCAATAGAGGATTTAACATGATAAGACAGCTTCACTTTAATGTACGTAAGAACCTAAGAGTCTAAGCCGGTCAAATTTTCATATATAAGTCGTGTACACACTCGTCACCTCGTGTATACGTCTTTCACGTAGTTCAAATAGTACAAACAAACCAATCCCTATGGGGTAGTTCCCCCACACAACGTCAGGCAAGATACTTACCTCAAAAACCCTCAATCAATACTCAAAAATAGCTTTTCCTTTACTATTCATCTCCGCTCGGCACAAATCTAACCAAAATCGACTTAATAATACAAGAGAAATCAATTCTAATAATAAAGCTATGATCTTTACATAATTTCTCAAAAGTCAACAAAAGTCAAACCGGGATTCGCCCGATCAAAACTCGGGTGTAATGGTAGATTCCGACTACGCATGATCCCACAAATTCATATATGTGATTAGTTTTAAAATCAGAGTCGAAATCGACTCTCAAAACTCAAATTCTTATTTTTCAAAAACTTGACAAAGTTTCAATTATTTTCATTTTGATTCACACGATTTTGATGTTAAAATCTAAGATATATTGATGGAATATGATTAGAAATAGATTAGAATCACTTACCCAAAGTTTGTAGATAAAAATTCCTCTTCAAAATCGCATCCTACCGAGTCTAGGGTTCCAAAATATGAAAATGAGGCTAAATATCCCGTCCCTCAGCTTTTTGTCCCGTTGCAGGTGTCGCAAATGCGACCTGGGGTTCACAAATACGAACCCCGCAAATGCGAGAAATCAATCGCAAAAGTAAAGAACCTCACATCCTTGCTGTCATTGCAAATGTGATGATTTGTTTGCAAATGCATACTTTGGATATCTCGCAAATGCGACAATTAAGATCGCAAATGCGAACAGCTCACCCAGGCCCCCCCTCCATCGCAAATGCAAACTCTGGGTTCACAAATGCGAACCTGGCTATTATCGAAAATGCGATCCAAAACTCGCAAATGCAAGACCTGAGGCATCTGTGCAAAAACCCACAGACTTAAACTCTATCAAATACTCCGCTACGCGTTCAAAACTCACTCGAGCTTTTGGGGGCTCCAAACCAAACATAAAATAAAAGTCTAAAAACATAACACAAACTCGCTCGTGTGATCAAATCATCAAAATAGCATCCGAAACCACAAATCGGACCTCAAAACACATGAATTCAACATGAAATTCAAGAACTTCTAAAAACACAACCGCGTGTCCGATTCCTATCAAATCAACTCGGAATGATGCCAAACTTTGCAGACAAGTTCCTAATGACAAAACGTACCTATTTCAAGACCCGAAACAGAAATCCAAACACGATAGCTTAAGTCAACCTACGGTCAAACTTATAAAAATTCTAAACCTTTAAATTGCAACCTTTCGGCAAAACAACATAAATCAACCTACGGATCTCTAAATTCAATTTCGGGCATATGCCCAAGTCTAAATTCACGATACAGACCCATCGGATCCATCAAAATACTGTTCCGAGATCGTTTCCACAAAAGTCAAACCTTGGTCAACATTTTCAACTTAAGCTTCTTAATTGAGAATCATTCATCTAAATTCATTCTGAAACCTCCGAAAATTAAATCGGACCATGCACGCAAGTCATAATACACAATATGGAGCCACTCAAGACCCCGAACCGCCTAACGGAATCTTAAAACTCAAAATAATCAGTCGGGTCGTTACAACCGTCTATACTATAATTATTCTCAATTGTGAAATATTTGACCCTTTCTCCTCAGTATTTGCCCCTCTTAGT